CTGTACTCTGGCTTAATTTTGGTTAATGTTTTTTGATCTTAAAAGAACATTTTGGCGTGTGATAATCAATGTGGTTCACCGTGCACCTACGTGCTGTAGGCCACAGTGCACAGGGCAGGGCGGTCCGAGAGAGCGCAGCACATACACATACTCGATCAAAGCCACGGTCAGGCGCGTTCACACTAGACGGAAGTGGTGAGGCAGGCTCATTTACATCGGGCAGGCCGGAGTAAGTGCACCCAAGGATAGCGGGGTACTTCGAACTTTATTTCTTCTCCGCTAGCTACAGAGAGGGACGCAGAGTGAGCTCGGCCGACCCAAGAGGCAACCCCGCGCGAGACTTTGGGGTTGACCGGCGCGCGCCGTCGTCTCCCCGTCCCCGGCGGCGAGCTCTGCTGGTTGCGATCTGAGGTTTGCTGTGCGTCTCCTTTCCTTCTTCATCCCCATTTTTGTTTCGAGGTACTACTTCGTTGGAGGGCGTTCGAGGTTCGTCTCGTGTCTTCGGGCTTTGGGCTCGGGGTGTTTTAAACACACGCACACAAAGAAGAAGTCTGGATCTGTTTTTATGGCCTCCGCGACTTCACTAGCTAGCTAGTATTTCACCGTGGTGCAGTGTCCTCGCGCGCAGTTCAGAATGTCCATTCTTTTTCTTATACATCGCGCGGTGATTGTTGGATCTTGCTTCGTTTGTTCCATTGGTCTGCTTAAGATTGGAGGCTGCTTTAGTTACGTTGTTTTGTATTGTGTAAGCTGCATGATAAGGTATTTGCGCTATTAATTTCATCATGCCACCATTCATGACCATCCACAGCCTAGATTGCCCTCAGCATTTCATCCTACGTAGCACTATATTTTTTTTAGGGAAACGTAGCACTGTATTTTTGTTTTCATTTTTTTGAGAAACTTTATTTTTGTTTTCATATGAACGTAGACTATAGAGAGAAAAATTCGAAAAAAGAAAGACTACATATATATATATATATATATATATATATATATATATATATATATAGGCGAAGTATCAAGTGAAAACGCTGATTCAGTGAAAATCTGGAAACTTGCGACCCGAGCCGTTGAATCTTTAATTGATGGCACAGATGAGAGGTGGGTTTGCTAACCAGCCACTTATGGCTATCTTTCATATAACCCCCTGTCCTACACACGAAGTCTTAGATCTCACCTTATCCATTGTCGCCTCCCC